ATTGGAGCCAATTAGTAGTTAATTTGTCACAAAAGTTTTCCTGGCCACAAAACAGCATTTAATTTATACACTTTTATTCTTATAAAAGATTCTAATAGAGGAAAATAAAATGTCAAACATCAATAAATGTTATTTTAGCAAATATAATTTTTAGATGTACTATTACTTCACATATTTAAACAGACAGTAGATAGGAATATCGTATATTTAAACATAAATCCATTTAGAAATACTAGCTAGATCCTTTATAGCATCTTTCTCACATGGGTCAACTAGAAAGTCTATAATAAACAGCAGTTGCCATATATTACAGATTAATATTAGTTGCAGATAATTTATAATTTTTAGAATCAAGTCAATCTTTCACACAAGTTTAGGGTCCTCTGTTACTTCCTTTCATAACATCCTGTTTTTCTTTTCATTTTATTTGTTAAATTATAATAATTGATGAGTTGTGCAATTTTTGTTAAAGTGCTTTTCCTGTTATGTTCTGAACTCCATGTGGGACTACATTTTCTTGTCCACTACACTTCACTTAATATGTACTCCAGTGCTTAAACCATAGATGTGCTCAATAAAGGTGTGCTTCATGAATCAAGGACTGAAAGGTCTGCACCAGGGGTGGGCAAACTATGGTTCAAATCCAGCTTGTCACCTGCTTTCTACAGCCATCAAATAAAGAACGCTTATTTTTCTCTTCTATCTTTAGGTGGATCTCTTTTTCAAATGGTTATTTAAGTACCTAAATTGCAGCCTCAGTTTTGCCTGTTGGTCCATAAATTCTAAAATATTTACTATTTGGCCCTTCAAGAAAAATGTTTCCTGACCCTGATTTAGACAACCCTGTCCAAAAGAACTATGGCAATGAAGGAAATATTACATATCGGTGCCCTCCAATAGGATAGCCACAAACGACATATGGCTATTGATCACATGAAACTTGTTTAGTGTGACCGAGAAATGCAACTTTTCATTTTAACTAATTTAAATAAGCCCATGTGGCTAGCAGCTAGTTTATTAGCAGCGGATCTAGATATACAACACAACAGACATCATGTAAACACAGTAAAAACTTACTTGGAGATCAAACATATCTCCAGAAAAAAAAAATGAGAAATATTTGAAGGTAGTTTGGCCTTTCTGGCAAAACTGAGTAAAAAAATAAAATAAATTATCACCAGTTCATGAAAACAACCAACATTACGACAGTACAAGACCTGAAGGTAAAAGTTAATTCATTTATTTTGGCAGTTACATAGAAACTCATTTAAAAGAAGTGGTGGTCAGTTCTTCATTCTATGACCTACGAATGAAAAAAATTATTTTGGATAAGGCAGATAATGTTACTGTTCTATTAATAAGTAAACAAAGGACATTGTTGTGTTTTTTTTTTTAAGATTTTATTTATTTATTTGACAGACAGAGATCACAAGTAGGCAGAGAGGCAGGCAGAGAGAGAGGAGGAGGCAGGCTCCCTGCTGAGCAGAGAGCCCAATGCGGGCACTGGGGGCTCGAGGACCCTGGGATCATGACCTGAGCCAAAGGCAGAGGGTTTAACCTACTGAGCCACCCAGGCGCCCCCAAAGGACATTGCTTTTATGAAGATTTTGAAGCTTCTCTTTGCTTTATTGAAAGACACATCACTCACTTCCAAAGAAATTCTTGAAATACATAGAATGCTATTAAAGCAAAATGTTCTCTAGCGCAGTAGGAAAACATTTGAGCACATAAACAAGTAAAAACATCGATATAATCCAACAGTATCCTCAAACAGCATTAAGAAGGCATTAAAGTGGCCTGAGAAGTAAAGATTCAAATTGCAAAGTGAAGTTTAAACACCACATTTATATGTAATTTCAAGTCTTTAAGTTGAGAAGCGTTTATAAGGAAATCTAAAATATGTGCTTTTTAAGATTGAAATTGTTTGCTGCTGTTATTTATAACACTTAAAGTAACTTTAAAAATTTAAAAATTAGAGTATATCTCCTTTTCTTGTTTATATTGTTTCTTACTTGTCTATGTATGAAATACTACCTCCCTGAGTAAAACTACTTTGGCTGCCGCCTTTTATTTCAAATGATTTTATCATTAGGGAAAAATTTGAAATCATGGTGGACAAATAATCCCTTAGTGCTTTTCCTTGCTAGCAAGTAATTTGTCAAAGCAATCCAATTTCCAAATAGCATACAAACTCAGTAAGACACTGAGCCAATGCATCTGTTCCTCTCTATAGAGTATGCACAAATGCCTTTCCTTTTGGGAGAAAATCCTAAGACTGAATTCTCTGAAAGGACAAGTTAGCTCTAGTAACAAAATATCATTTATAATGTCTCTCTGATAAAACTTTAGAATTTTGTAAAAAGTCAAGTTTTATGAAGATACAATTATTTACATGCAGCAATATTCACCCTTTTTAAGTGTACTGTTTAATGAATTTGACAAACATACAAATCATGCATTCGCTACCCAAATTAACATATGGGACATTTTCATCACCCCAAAATGTTCCCTTATACTCTTTTGTAGATGGATGATCCATTCCTTTACCCACAGCCCACTGGCAACCAGTGATGGATCTGTTTTCTGTCTCTTTTCTAGAATGTCATATAAATGGAACCATACAGAATGTAATCTGTTGTGTCTGTCTTATTTCACTTAGCCACTTGGTGTTATGCTTTTGAAATTCATCCATGTTGTTGCACGTGCATGTAGTTCATTGCTTGTTGCTGAGAAGTATTCCATTGTATGAATATATCACAATAATTTTACCCATTTTGCTGGTGATAGACTTTCAGCTACAGGAATAAAGCAACTATAGGGGCGCCTGGGTGGCTCAGTGGTTAAAGCCTCTGCCTTCGGCTCAGGTCATGATCTCAGGGTCCTGGGATCGAGTCCTGCATCGGGCTCTCTGCTCAGCAGGGAGCCTGCCTCCTCCTGTCTCTCTCTGCCTGCCTCTCTGCCTACTTGTGATCTGTCAAATAAATTAAAAAAAAAAAATCTTAAAAAAAAAATAAAAAAAATTATAAAGCAACTATTAACATCTGCTGTGTGGACATAGGTTCCATTTCTCTTGGGTAAATATCTAGGAGTGGAATTGTTGGGTCATATAGTAAGTACATGTTTAACCTTATAAATACCTGCCAAACTGTTCTCCGAAATAAGTGTAGTATTTGCATTTGCATGAGCAATCTTCACAATTCTCATTGTTTTATGTGGGGGTCTAACAATATTATCAATCCTTTTAATTTTTGTCATTTGAAAGGTAGTATAGTGGTATTTCTCTGTCTCCTTGTGCTTTTAATGATTAAAAATGAATCATTAAAAAAATCATTAAAAACGATGATTAAAGATGAATACTTTTGCATATGTTCATTGCCATTTGTATATCTTCCTTTGTGAAATATTTGTTCAAATCTTCTGTCTTTCTTTTTACTGAATTTTTTGTTGATTTATGTATTCTGCAAACAAGCTCTTTATCAGGTAGGAGCTTTGCTAATTTTTTTTTTTTTCTTTCACCAATCTGTGGACTGTTAACAATGTCTTTGGAAGGTCAGACATTTTAAATTTGTTAAGTCCAATTTGTGAAATCTTCACTTATGGTTCATGCTTTTGGTGCCTAAGAAACCTTTCCTTAACCAAAGGTCACAAATATTTTTTCCTAGGTTTTCTTCTAGTAGTTTTATTCTACATTCAAGTCAAAGATCCATTTCAAGTAACTTGTATGCGATATGTGGTAAGGGTTAAGCTTTTTTGTATTTTTTTTTTTTTTATTTTGATATGTAGTTGTTTGCAACACTTGCTGAAAAAAGTATTTAAACCCACTGAATTGCTTTGGCAGCTTTGTCAAAAGTCAACTGACTGAACAGGTACGCACTGATTTCTGAGCTCCCTAGATGTGCCATTCATCTATAAAACTATGTTGAAACAAATGCCACCCTGCTGTCATTACTGTAGTTTTCTCGTAAGTCTTGTAAATTGTTATATTTTATACAAATAAACTGAATATTGATATCCTTCCGGAACCCAAGTACCTCTGAAACAGTCGTTCACTATAGAGTGTGGGTAGAGGCCTGCACTGATTTGAGAAGATGCCATTCCTCCGAAGATGAAAGAGCTGGTAGTTACTCCAGGTGTTCTCCATCCCTGTGTTCCACAGACAGGGGGTTTGCTAAGCCCAGGGGATCCACAGATAGAATTCAGGGCACCTGTGATCTTGGATCTTGGAGAAAATGTTCTTCTTTATTCTCACTAACTGCTAATCGTAATTTAGGCTCTCCGTCAGTTATAAATGTAGACAAGAAACCTCAGTAGTACTGGTAGTACTTGCAACTTACTGTTGGCCATAGAAGGTACAGATATTTTCATGTCACATTACAGTTATGGCTGATATCTTCAAATATTGTTGACATTTACGGTCACTTAAAAATTAGAATTTTAGAACTGCTATGTGATCTTTTTATTCAATGAGTTAATAAACACACATGTACTATTAAATCGTAACTTAAAAAAATTCTTTTAGTAACGATCTCAATATGATTGGTTTCCTTTGTCATATTATGTATTTCACTTTTATTCAAAAGAAAATGTTTGAGAAGAGGCCCAAAGTCACTTCTAGACAGCCAAAGGTGTCTGTGGCACAGAAATGGTTCAGATTGGCCCTCTGTATTCCCATTTCACAGACCTACTACTTAGGCTGTCTTCCATTACAAGGGTCTTTACTACTACAGTTTAGAATATTGCATTGCTACCAGCTCTGCTTTATTTCATCTTATACTATATATAATCATAATATATTGTATTTCTTTTTATTTATTTATTTATTTATTTGACAGAGGGAGGAGAGATCACAAGTAGGCAGAGAGGCAGGCAGAGGATGGGTGGGGGGCAGACTTCCCACTGAGCAGAGAGCCCGATTCGGGGCTCGATCCCAGGACCCTGGGATCATGACCTGAGCTGAAGGCAGAGGCTTTAACCCACTAAGCCACCCAGGAGCCCCCATAATATATTATATTTCATCTTATTAAGAAAGGTTCAATAAACCTTTATTAAACTTATGAGATTAGATAATGTTGTAGGTCCAAATCTGGAGATTCAAAGGTGTATCACATGGTTCCTGCCTTTGAGGAACTTAGGTTCCACTAGGCAGATTAGGAAGCAGGCATGCAATTTACAGTGTCTGTGCCCTAATAAGTATACGTGGGAGTGACCTAGATGATGTTCTTACCCTTCACTTGGGTAGTGGTGGAGGTGTGGGCAGAGTATCAGCAAATGCCTCCCACAGGCACTGACACACATGAGGACACCTGGAGAACAAGAAAGCAGTAACTAGGACGGGAAGAGACCACGTCACACAGAGGAAACAGGAGCAAGCATCCAACTTCACTCTGCTTCGAGCCCTGCGGCAGAAGAATGGCCAAGGGAGGAATGACGCATTGCCTATCCCCAGCTCCCCTGCGAAGTGTCAAGGAAGACAATCCTTCTCACAAAGCAGAAGCCGAAACAGCTTCCCACTGTTGCTTAGCATACTCAGCTTGCACTGCCAGTGTATCTGGACAGGCAGGAGTTCTTTTTCGCAGGTCCTTCTTTCCCCAGAAGCTGTTAAGTGCTGAGCCCTTCTTGCAAGGGCCCCTCCCTATCTTCTGGGCCTTCTTCAGGGTGCCCTCCCCAGGCTATTTTAGTGTGTCTCCTAGGCTGTAGCGTTTCCTTCACTCCCACACTGGTGGGTGGCACATGCTCATGTGTTTAGACAGCATGGGCAAAGTGTAGGGGCACCCGAATATAGACTTAGAGCCCAGAGCTCTCCTTTTAGCACTTGAGCCCCAGGGGACCCAGTCTAGAGCAGCGAGATCTTCTCCTATCCTGGACTGAATGAGTCATTTATTACATCCTAAACAGAGACTGTTACTAAGAAACATCCCTATTTAAACTGTCCTCAAGCCGGGCAGCAGCAGGGGCTGCTCAGCTAATTAGGGACTAATTGACTCTTTAGCAACATTATCAGCTGTGACAGTCTTTCCTGCCTCTGTCTGCCAGGGTACTGGGACCATTCTCTGTGATGGGCTCCATTTTCACTTTGTTTATCAGGATCTAAATGGAGCAAATTCCAGCCTCATATCCCTGATATCTCATGAAGGTAAGAGTGTAGATGTAAAATCTTTATATTTTTGAGGGTTTCTGTTTAGTCCGGGAAACTGCTTCATCTTGCCCAGTAGTAATCCTTATGGGAAACAGACTGCCTACCTTTTAGAGGTTTCTGCTTTCAGTTACTGAGGTGACATTACCTTTTCTGAGGAAGAGATTGGTGCCCTCTCTTGCTCTTGTATAGGAGAGGACTTTTTTTTCATTTTTGGTAGGCATTTTTAATTATGACCATAAAATTTCATGACTTCACTTACCTGGCATTATTCTTTTCTCTGAGAGGAAGGGGCTAGTTTTTTTCCCATGGAGGATCAGTGTATTCATTTCCTCCCTTTTCTCCACAGCATGTTCTGAACATGTTCACTGCTAGGCATAGGACAAACAGTAAAAATGATAGGTTTTCTGCCCCTCTAGGATGGACAGAGGAATACAAACATTTTAAAGGTAAGTGCAATAAAGTCATATTCATCTGTACAAAGTTGGGACATCATAAAAAAGACAGTGACTTATATGTGGAGGCAACATCATAAATATTGAAGGACAACATAGAAAAGTGTTGACTAGGAGAGAAAGGGATGTTAGCCTTCCTGGGAGGGATCAGTGAGGGCAAAGTCCAGATGGAGGCAACACTTGAGATACTACAAGAGTCCCAGAAAGTCTGGATACTTTGAACTATGGTTAGATGGAGTGCAGCAAAAGATTATGCTGATGAAGTAACCAGGAAGAGCATCATGGAAGATTTGGATGTCATGCTAAAGAGTTTGGATTCTCCCATAAGAAAATGGGAAACCCACAGAAGAGTTAAAGGCAGGGGTAGGAGATTGATGCCAAGGAAACCAGGAGGGTACTTATGAGACCCTGAACTTAGAGAGTAGCAGTGGGACTGGAGAGGAGAGGCAGTGAAGAGAAACATAAGAGGTTGAATGAAAATGACTTAATGTTTAAATGGATTGGAAGGAGAGAGAAGTCTAGGGTGATTTTGGTTTTCAGAGGCAAGTTTCCTTCACTGAAAATGAGTATCAGAGGAAAAGTGCTTTTGACAGGAAAGTTTAATTTTAGACACGTTGATTTGGAGGTGCTAGGGGAAAACCCAGGGGAAAGGCGATGTCTATCAGGCAGTTGGGTAAACATGGCTAAAAGCTCAGGAGAGAGATTCAGGAGGGAGAATTAGCCCAGAAATTACATCTGAGTGAGCATCACCAGATTCAGACAGTTTTGAAAACCATGACCATGTTTCTTGGAAAGAATATAGATTGAAAAAGGCTCAAGGACAGAGCCCTCAAAGGAAAAAAACTAATATTTGAATGATGAATAGAGAACAGCCTGCAAAGAAGGCTGCGAGGGAACAAATAATGGGAGAAAACTCTAAAGTAAAGTGGCTCTTTTGTCTTCTGGGAAGCAAGTTCTTGGGGGTCAGATGTTCCCTCTACCTCCCTAAATCTTATGGCCTGTTTCTCTCTGTGTTGGCTTTGTCTCTTCTCTCTCGAGATCTCTTCCTCTGCTCATTTGCAGTTTCTGACCCTCTTAATTTTGGCTTCACATGGTCAAACATTGCCTCCAGAATCTCTTTATACATCGTGACCTTTTAGTTCCCATGCCAAATTCCTAAGAGATAATCGGATAGGTCTGACTCTTCTATTTTTTTATTTAATTATTTTTTGTGTTCCAAAATTCATTGTTTTTGCACCACACCCAGCAACTCTTCTTTTTGAGCCACATCACAATCAGGGATCTAGGCTACCCTGATCAGGTCTCTACTCTCCCTCCTATCACCTATGGTCTTAAGTATAAAATATTGTTGCCCAGGTTCACCCTTTGGTAGAAGATATGGGCAAGAAGAAAAGAATGTGGTGAAGCTGAACGACATCTATAGTTTAAAAAAGTTTAAAGATGAGAATCCTCAACAATGGCAGATACCAAAGCATGGTAAAGAAAGAGTCCTTTGGATCTAATGATATGGATGCCAGCTAGGCCACTGGTCAGTTGCTGGAATGGCAAAGAGGTATCTGGTTGCTCTGAGTTGGCAATGAATAAAGGCAGAAAGTGGAGACAGAGTTGTGGCTTCCCCTCAGTCAGGATCTTAATCTCAAACTTTATAATATAAAGGCAAAGAACGGGGGTGATATTGATACAGAACATGGAGTCTAGTGGTAGTTGTCCTTTTTTTTTCCCTTCTCAAACACCTATTTTATTTTTTGGGTATTTGCCCTTGTTCTGGAGTAGAACTGTGGGTCAGGACTTATGAGCACAGATAAAAGAATTACCTGTAGAAAAAGAAAGGATCTCTTTAAATGAGACTGTGGGAAGGAGGGCAGGATAAATGATATTGGTGATCTGTAGGAAAGGTAAGAGGTTAACAAAGGGTACCGAAGTCTACTCTGCAAAGTCTCTCTCCCTTCATTCCAAACCTTATCTAACACAGGCCTTTACATATACTTTCTTAACCAAATGAACAAATTCCTGTAGTGGCTAAAAGTTTGTAGTCGTGAGGTTCTTCCATCTTCCTGGAGGAGAAGGGAAGTAGTGATATAATGAAATAGTACTGATCTTGGGAGCCAGAAAACCTGGTCACCTTGGGAAAATCATGTACATGTCTCTGAATTCCACTGTAGAGTGGGAATGCTTTACATACAATGACACAGGTATACTAATATACTATGGAAGTGTAGGAGAAGGAAAAATTAAGCCTGCTAAGATCACTTAGGGAAGAGTTCCAGAGAAAGTGGCTTTTGAGGTGGGTCATGAAATGTGAGTAGAGCACACCAGGCTAGAATGTAAGGAAAAAGGGTTTGACTCAAACTAAATGTACAACATCATACACAGAATATGACCATCAGAAGCCTGGAATATAATTATCATACACAGAAAGCGACCATCAGAGGCCTTTATGGCTTCTGAATAACCAAAACTTGGAACTACATATCTTTGCATTGTCTTATGAACAAAATACATGCACCTCTCATCAGCTAGCCCCATCATGCTCTTATGTCTATACTGCTGAGTTCCTCCTCTTTCTCACTCATTCTCCCCACTGCTGCTGTCCTTTTCCACAGGGGCCTTCTGGAAATCCTTCTTTATAGAAAACCAACTACTCCATGCCATCATCTTTTTTATCATATACCAACTTCCCTAAAGCTTAACATTTGTTTATTGTCAACTGATACTATGTTCTTAGATAAATTCTCTGAATAACTTTTGTTGTTGTTGTTGTTTTTTCCCCAAGTACTCTTCTCTCTCTAGATATTCTTCCTCAGTAACCACTTGAATACTCATAACTTAGACAACCATTTATGGATCTTGAGCTCTAACTTTCCTATGGGCTCTATGTTGCATATTGGATATCTTTATCATTTGGGTGTTGCACAGACAGCATATCCAAAACTAAGCAATAACCCCCCTAATTCTCAAGCAACCCTAGACTTTCTTCCTCAGTAAATGGCCATACTACTCAGCTAGCCAACCAAACTAGAAACCTAGGGGGGAGGTGAAGGGTGAGTATCTTAGACTTCATTCTCTCCCTTACCTATGATACACAATCAGTAACGAAGACAGGATAGTTTTACCCCTTGGATTATCATTATTTTTTATTTTCCATTTCTACTTCCTCTGCATTAATCCAGGCATTGTCACTTTTCATTTAGGTTTCTGAAATGGGCTCCTAACTGCTGTCCTGTCCTCCTGCTAGATTCTACTCCAATCCATCCTTTAGCCTATAGTCACAGTGATTTTTCTAAAATAGAAATATAATCACATCACTCTTTTCTTAACTCCCTCAATGAAACCTTATGCTGTAAAAGGAAATGTACGTCTTTAGCATGGCATTCAAGGTCTTCTACATCTAGGATCCTGTCAAACCTCTTTGTGATCTTATCTCCATACTCAACTGTTCACATCAAATCTACCTTCAGGCCCCTATAGGGGCATGCTGTCTCATGTTTTTGAAATAATTGTTGCTAATCCTTATTGAGAGGTTACTATTTACAAAGATCTCTGTTAATTGATCTATTCTTTCTCACTACCCCAAGTGGTCTGTTACCCTAACCCAGTTGACAGAACAAAAAAATGAGCCACAAATCAGTTACGTAACCTAACCAAGGTTACACAGCTAGTGAGGGACACAACTAGAATTTGAACTCTTATCAGTCTCTCTACAGAACCCATTCTTTTAACCACTGTATATAGTACTACCACACTGCCCCTTCTTCTGGAAGACCTTTTTTTTTTTTCACTTTGCTTACCTCATACTTACTCTTTATTCACTTAATCTGGCTTCTCCTTCCATCAGAATTCTGAAAAACCTCTCACAAAAAGTATCAGTGAACTCCAAAGGAAAATTTTCCATTCTCTTCTTACTTGATTCTCAAATGCTTTCAACCACTCCATAGGCCCTGAAATATCTTCTGTGGTTCACGTGATGATATTCTTTCGTCTTTCTAATTTATCTCTGAATGTGTTTTCTCAGCCTCCTTTGTTCTTCATCCTCCTCTACAGAATCTTCGTACTGTCATCATTAAAGATTCAGTCCTACTTTTCCCATTCTTCTTTCCCTATGCTTGTTGTCCTAGCTTCAATTTCCATCTATATGTTGATAACTTCTAAACTTGTATTCATGCTTCCCTTTGTTCCATATAGACCCTTACACACCAGCGCTTCTTTAACATTGCTTGAATTTCTCAAAAGCACCCTACACTCAACATATTCAAAATGGAATTGTCAGTTTTCTCCCAAATATTGCTCTTCAGTGTACCTCAGCACTGCTTTTCATCTAGTTAAGTAATCTAGACAACTGTTACAGCCCATTGACCAAAGAGGAGTAGGAAAAAATCCCTGTAGTCCACCTTAGATTTATTTCACTTACTGCAACTGAGGGAATGCACTCCAGGGGAACTGTAGGTTGTCTCAATAAAGTAGAGTTTTAGGAGCTTCTTTCAGGCTTTAGGCCTATATTGCATTGTTATAGAGAGGATTGAAAACCATGGGATCCAGTTTTGAATTGGAGGTTGTCAAAAAGCTAGGGAAATCTAATGACTGGCTTTGCTTTATTTTTTAAGATTTATTTTATTTGTGTGAGAGAGAGTGAGAGCATGTGTGTGTATGTGCAAGAGCAGGGGGAGAAGTAGAGGGAGAGGGGAGGGAGGGAGAATGTTAAGCAGACTTCATGCTGAGTGCACAGTCTGCCATGGGGCTTGATCTCAGGATCCTGAGATCATGACCTGAGCCGAAATCAAGAGTTGGATGCTTAACTGATCACACTCCCCAGATGCCCCTTTGTTTTTAAAAAAAAAAAACAGGAACACTAAAGTGGGCTGAGGGTGGTCACTGCTAAAGAAGTAGGAGTCAGCTACATGTTAGGAGAGAGGATGCTGACAATGACCTTGTCTTTGTTTCAAGTATGCCATTGAGTGAATATTAATCATAATTGTCATTTACTTTATATTTTAGTATCTCCAAGTTTTAGCTAGGTAATTTTGGGAAAAATGACTTGAAGTCCCAGCTTTAATTTTCTAATACAAAAAAAAAAAAGAATTATCTATTATTATTTTAGACAGAAAACTCAAAATTACTTTACATATTGTTTTAGTTGCACACATATTTTCTTTCACTTTAGCACTGAAACATTCTTTAGGTTTCTAAGAAAACCCCCCAAATATTATTCTAGCCATTTGCAAAAAGAGTTCTGATTGACAGACTATGATACCTACCCATTTAGAGGCAGGACAGCCAAGAAATCATCAACTGCTTGAGGTCTAGAGGGTTATGCATCCACCAATATCTTGCTTTTCTCAAGAGGAAACTGAAAAAATGGAAGAAGACCAACACAGAAGACCCTCAAATGATCAAGTGGTAGGATAGTTGCTGTAGTGGTTAGGTAGTTAGACTCTCAAGCCAGAACACCAGGATCTGAATCATGCCTTTACTGTTTCATAGCTTTCTTCCTGCATCCTCCTCCCTGGAGTAAGTTGCTTGACCTCTTTGTATCTGAATTTCCTCTGCAGTACAGCAGCAGAAATAATATAGTCCCTTCCTCTTAGGATTATTGTGAGGATTGAATAAGTTAATAAAGTACTTACAAGAGCACCTAGCACGGCATAGGCACTCAATAAATATTTACTTGGCATTATTATTTTAACCCATCATGTCATTTGGAGTTTAAAAAACCTTTTAAGAATTGAGTAGTTGCCAAGGACACTCTATGAATGGTATGTATGTAAGAGAAATATAAAGTTGGAGTCACCTCTGAAATTTTTTAAACAGATCTGGCCACTCAAGAAGACTCCTTCAGAGAGAGCTGCTCAGATGCCAGCACATTTGAGAATAGTGAATCTGGAATTATGTTAACATATTGGAACCTTCCATGGAGACTGGAATGGTGAAAGAGCAATTTGAATAGTAGACTTTCAAAACTGTCAAGGAAATTGATGATGTATTCCTGCTTGCCAAGAAGGGGCTTATCCAACACCTTTGGACTGAATATGAGGCCAGTAAAAATGGAACTTCTGGGGAGATTCAATTTAATCTATAACTGAATTCTTCTCTTCCTGTCAAGCTGGCCATTTTGACATCTATTAACTATACATGTAAGTGGAGTAAATATTTTTTTGATTATGACATCTGTTTAAATTGGCCTTCTGTGTCTGTTCATACTTTCGGTTAAACTATACGCTGTTAGCATTTACTGGGTTGGAGGTGGTTTCTTTGGTCCAGAGAAAAAGTTTGCAACCAAGAATAAATTAAGTTATTTTTAAAAATCATATGGAGTACATAAGAAAGTTCTTTGTATTTTTTTTTTTTTTATTTTGTGACTGGCCATTTGTGCATTTTTGGAGGGTATGTTGAATTAAACTTATTGGCACATTTATGTAGAAGACTTGTTATCTTAATTGATTTGTCAAGTCATTCAGAGATTGCTTGCCTATGCTTCCTTGTATTTTATGTACAAATATCTAGGCTGGAGACTTTTCAAGAAGCTAGAAACAACCTAAAGGTCTAACAATAAAATAATGGGTAAACAGAATATATCTCATTAAGATGGACTTTTATGAAATCATTAAAAATGATCATTATGAAGGCAGTGTAGAATCATGGGAAAATGCTTCTTATACAATATTAGGTAAAAGAGGCAAAATGCAGAAGGGTATATTGACTGCTAAGGGAAATACAAACAATGTATATACATTTGGACCAACTGAAAATAACTACTCGATAGTGGGAATATGAGAAATTTAAGTATATTTTCCTCACTTCTCTTTAACAATAAAAGAAAAAAGTAAAGAGCTTTAAATGGCATGACCAAATTATTTAAGAGCCAGATTCTTCACTCATTTTTCATGGATTTGTAAAAATGACAGCTTGTGTGTTAAGGCAACTTGAACTTCAGCCCAAGAACCTGACTTGTTTGCCTCAATAGATTCACTGTATCTTGACTTCCTTAATAAATTCTGTGCAAATTTCAAACCCAAAGGTTTACTATCTTTATTAATATGAAAAGATCTCATCGGTGAAAAGATACCATAATCAGAGATAAACAGGAGAAGCACAGCATAGGGTGTGGGATGTCCACCAAAAGATATAATGGCCTTTTGAAGAGCTGTTCATAGTTGCTATATAAATTTTTTAGAAGTTAGAGTTTTGAGAGATATATAGATAAAATACAGAATATTTTCACATTCTTAAAATTTACTTCCACATTAAATCTTTTACATTGCAATTAAAAGACACAACTATTAAAAGAAAAGTGGCTGCGAAAAACCCACAACTCAAAACCCAAAATTTATTAACAAGCCCTTGTGGAGTAATGCCTGTTAAAGAACGTTAGCTAAAGGCAGAGGGGGGGCTTGTGAAAGTCTGGTTTCCTTTGTATTTATTCTTCGGCAGTGACTGAAGAAAGGGGGATCTAACCTTCTTAGATACAGACCTCTTGAGCATGAGCCAAGATGTAGGTCCATTTAGGGCAAGGTTGTGAGTACCCTTAGGATTTGCATTTTCCCCAACCCTGGGATGGAATGCAGTAGACACTACAGAGCCTGGCAGGGTATTCCATGTTCTTGGGCATAAAACTATCTCAGAGGAACCATTTTAAGACTGACTTAGCAAACGATAAACACTTGGTGATTCCCTTAAGATGCCCATTCTAACTGAATTTGGGGTAGATTTGGGGTAGAGACTGAGGTCCTGTATTATAAGAAGCTCCCAGGTGATGCTGATGCTATTGGTTCATGGATTGAATTTTTGAGTAATAAGATCTAAGCTCGGTTTACTTGAGAAAAATAAGGAATGAAGGAAATTTCCTGCTTAATCTTTGCTTTCCATATATTATCTATAGCTGGTAAGTAATCTTTGGACAGGGAAGTACGTCATGGAGTGGACTCCAATTTTTTTTTTTTTTAATCACTCTGGGGGGTCAGAAGATCAGTATTGGTCACTAAGAAATACACCCTGTAACTCTTACATTGAAGTCTTTATTCATTGCTCTGTTTTCACCGGCTTTTGGGACTGTTATTGCGTTAACATTATGATGTGTGCACATCGGCTTGGATGGCTACTTTCGAAATTTCATTTATAAACAGATCTCTTTATAAAATCCCTTCTCTGATTCTTTTCATGACCCTTTTATATATGATATGTAAAATGCCAGGGTATTTGGTATTTAATAATCAGCAGTTGTCTTTAGGTTTGTTCTTAGTAATTAATTAAGATTTAATTAAAATAAAATTAAAGTTAATGTCTTCGGCAAGAAACCTATTGGTTTTCATTGATCTTCCTAACTTACTTTTTTTTTTTAAAGATTTTATTTTTATTTATTTATTTGACAGACAGAGATCACAAGCAGGCAGAGAGCAGGGAGAGAGAGGAGGAAGCAGGCTCCCTGCTGAGCAGAGAGCCCGATGCGGGGTTCAATCCCAGGCCCCTAGGATCACGACCCGAGCCGAAAGCAGAGGCTTTAACCCACTGAGCCACCCAGGCGCCCCTAACTTACTTTTAAAAAAGATTTTATTTATTTATTTGTCAGAGCGAGAGAGGGGGGCAGGCAGAAGGAGAATTGGGCTCCTCGCTGAACAAGGAGCCTCATGTGGGAATCATTTCCAGGACCTTGGGATCATGATCTGGGCTGGAGGCAGACGCTTAACCAACTGAGCCAACCAGGCGTCCCAGATCTTCCTAACTTATAATTAACCACTATTATTTGTGTTCAAGTCTTTCAAAAGTGGCCTCACAATCCAACTTTTAATTTTAAATTACAAAGTTCTGATTATACCTTATCATTTACTTATGAGACAATAAAAACTAAGTATGAGATATAGTACCCAAAGTAGTAAAAATGAATACCTTATTTCGAATGTCAATGGGTTCTTATTATTGAATTATTTTTTTAAACCTGCAAACAGTGAGCTGAAATAGCTCTTATATTTCCTATGAGAAAACATTATTTTTTAAAAAGATTTTATTTATTTATTTGACAGACAGAGATCACAAGTAGGCAGAGAGGCAGGCAGAGAGAGAGAAGGAAGCAGGCTCCCTGCCCAGCAGAGAGACCTATGTGGGGCTCGATCCCAGGACCCTGGGATCATGACCCGAGCCGAAGGCAGAGGCTTTAACCCACTGAAGCCACCCAGGTGCCCCGAGAACACATTTTTATAGAAAACATATCTACATTTTTTTTTTTTTCTATTTGCTTTATTTGTATAGTCTTCAATATAGTACTAGACCTTAATTCTTTGGCTCACAAAAACTTGGAGACCACAAAGGTAGACAAAAGTAAAAAACAAAAGAGTGGTCTTTAAGCAGATATTGGGCATTCAAATAACTATGGTTGGGGCGCCTGGGTGGCTCAGTAGGCTAAGCGTCTGCCTTCGGCTCAGGTCATGATCCCACGGTCCTGAGTTGGGCTCCTTGCTCAGCAGGAAGCCTGTTTATCCCTCTCTCCCTCTCACAGTCCCCTCGCTTGTGTTCCCTCTCTCGGTGTCTGTCAAATAAATAAATGAAGTCTTAAAAAAAAGATCACTATGCTTTCAGGATAATAATTCCTAGAGTGAATGAGGAATGGGTGAACCATTCTGAAGTATTACTGCTTGCTCCGTGGATGTATACTACAGTTATGATTATTAAGGATCTATATCCCTAATGCATGTTATTGAACTACTTTGTTGTTCTAAAGATGTTCAATGAAGTTTTGTTGGATTTTCTAATGTCTTACTTGATGAGAAACACATATACTCTGTTTGTAAAGCTACAGAAATTTGGTCTTCTGTTTCCTATCTTTCAAAGATGGCACTTCTCATCTGGCCAACAAACAGCTATCTTATCCTCCTTATGCATTTGCATCTCTCTATAACAGAGAGGTTGGGATCTAAAAATCAAGACATAAATGTGCATACAATGTCACTCCACGAGACAACTATGACCTATGACCTTCAGAGACTCTGTAACATTGCTTTATTTACTTACAAAACTCCATGAGATTTAATTTTACTTTTCATAATAAAAGAATGGTTAAGGAGATCTTGGTTGAATTTACTATGGTTTCATTAATCTTAAAGGTAGAAATTATGCTATTAACAGCAATAGTTTTAACGAAATCCCTTCTTCTCCAAGCATGTGCAACCAATTTATTAGAATGAAAACATATTACCAATAATCTCATCAACAAAAGTAGATATCAAAACTGTGCTAAAGATCTAAAATATGAAGCATATTTTAAAAGACTTTCAAATCTGTTTATTTTCAAGACAAACAACAGTATTTGCTATCAATGAGAGCAAAGTTAACTGAGAAAATAATTTACCTTGCAGTAGTTTCAATATCTACACTCTAAATGTTGACCCTCAAAAAGTCTAAATATCATTCCTCAGTACAGTGTAATGGGCACTCAGGGATGGCTTCTCGAACCTAGCAGAAACTGGTAATGTGAATAGTTTTGGAGCCTTTAAAGGGAACAATTTATATACACAGGAAGATATTTCGCATTCCAATATATGTTAAAAGTAAATCTCTTTGCCTTCAATATTATTTTTAGTTCTGTTCTTCTAAGTTAGCTTAAGTAGAAATATAATACTTAATTTTTTCATGATTTAAAGTCTTTTTGTATGCCTTTATTCATAGAGGTTTACCTGCAGCTATACTGTCTATTAAAATTAGAAATATTCTGAAGTCACCGGAATACAGAGATGTTTGTTATTATAATCAAATGGTATCTGGAATTGTTTTATCTTTCCCCTGAAACACATTATTTGAGTATACTTTGCCTGACGGAAAGCCATCATTGAGTCTTTTGCTTTAAAGAGTTGTAGCAGTAATAGAAGACTGGATTCTTTCCTGAGAGGGGAGTTAACTCAGAATATATGTGCACTTAGTTCAACATGATTAGCTAATGCACACCAAGTCCCATGTTGACCAAATGGTGAATTTTAGGTTGGAATTTGTATACTTTTTTTTTTTTCCTCAAATTCAACATGTTCAATCATAACTGTCTGAGTACAAGTTAAAGGCTTCTCCTCCCACGAGATTTAAATACATGCTACTTTGTTCTGTGCTGAAATGTGTTAACTCTCTTACTCTGGATTGTGCATTGGAAAACTCTAATAAAAACAGCATAATTTTTTTAAAGGTCTTCCCACTGACAGAACATCTGCAAACTTAATGAGGCAATCCATTGAGATAAATACATCAACTAATAAATTCCCGTACATGCAGCCAGTAGCATCACTGGCCAAGTACAAACCATCTGGGGAGGTTTGGAGACTTTCAGTTCCTTTGGTCACAGGTGAGCAAAGCACATATTTCACATAGCAGGTTATTTCTTAAACAGTCCTCCTACCTGAAAATAAGCCATTCTACTGACCACATTTAGAAACAACCTAAAGGAACCTATAATTAAAGAGGAGAATGGAACAGAAGTGAACAGTTTAGGACAAAGGTAGTTCAGAGTAAAGGACTATGTGTTTATGTACATACTTTTTTTCCTTTCCAAATATCATTATCTAAATCTTAACTCTTCCATATGCCTCTTATATGTGTTTCAATAACTATATTATAAACTCCTCAAGATTAGGAACTGTCATAGTCTAGTTCTATGAATCTTTCTTCCCAACCTATAGTGTCTAGAATAGTCTTAGTCATAGTATTGGAAACAGACAGTGGTTGACTGAATTTTGTGCCACATCTACAAAGTACTTTTATTGAGATGTGGGAAATTAATTAAAGATTAATTGCATATTCAATTTAATAGTTGTATGAATATTCATATTTTATTTTCCTTCTTGAGGCTGTTTTGGCATACTGTGCTTCTTTGAAAACGTTTTCCATTTCATGCATTTATTATCATAAATGTATTGGCAAATTTCTTGGCATGTTCCCTTTTATTTGTTTTTATTTTTATTTTTTTAAAGATTTTATTTATTTATTTAACAGAGAGAGAGAGATCACAAGGAGGCAGAGCAATAGGCAGAGAGTGGGGGGGAAGCAGGTTCCCTGCTGAGCAGAGAGCCCATAAGATAGATGGGAGCATGAAAATATTCCCAGCATGATTATAGATTTATTTCTTTTATAGTTAATTTTTGTTTTATATATTTAGATTATGTTATTAACTACATGCCAACTTATAATTGTTATATTTCCTGGCAAACGGAAGCTTTTTCATTATGAAGGATTTCTCTTTATAGTCAAGAATTTTTTTTGCCTGACATTAACTAATTATCTACTTTTCATTCATACATTTTCCTTTTGATGAATATCTGCAAATATGCCTTTTCTATTACTTTTGAACTTTTTGTACCCTTGTTTTAGTTCTGTTTCTTCTAACTGACATGTTATTGGGCACTCTTTTTCCAGTAAGTCAATCTTTTTGTTTTATAATTGAAGCATTCAATTTATATTTAATGGAATTACTGATATATGTAGATGTAGTCTACCATCCTATACTCTTTGCTTAATATATGTATGTACCAAGAATTAATTGCTTTACATTGAGAACTGCAACCATCTGCATTAATCTGACAGAGCTAAGGGGTCTAAGAACTGAGACCACCTATACCAACGTGATTTGTTTGTTAAAGAAAAACTTTCAGAGGGGGAGACGAACCATGAGACTGTGAACTCTGAGAAACAAAGTGAGGGTTGTGGAGGGGAGGGGAGTGGGGGGGTTAGGTGAGACTGGTGGTAGGTATGAAGGAGGGCATGTATTGCATGGAGCACTGAGTGTGGTGCATAAACAATGAATCTTGGAACACTGAAAAAAAAATAAAATTAAATTAAAAAAAAAAAAAAAGAAAGAAAAACTTTGCCCAGGAAAGTTAAGACTGTAAGCCAATAAATAACTTCATTGTTTCAAGAAAAACTCATATATTAATTTATCTTGGACAATCTGCTCACCTTGGCAAAAAGCTCACATATCAAGTAACAGTTTGCTTATCAAGACTTCTTCAAGACCTTTCCCTTGCTATAGATACCAATCATAAAACTATTGTCATGAACTTTTCCAAACTGTGGTCTGGTCCCCACCTGAAAAGAGCCACCTTTTTTAAACCACTTGAGCCCAGACTTTGCAATCCTGTAAATATCGTCTCCTGACTTCACCTTCAGACTGTCAAGGCAGAATCCTTTAACACTACAGAGAGTTCTAATAAACTTAACTTTGCTTTATTAACAGATTCCCTGGGGATATTTTGGGGGAGTTCAAAAACATATTTATTCCTTTAATCCTCATAACAACCTTATAAATGAATTCTATTCTTATGTTCCTTTTACAGATGAGAAATTGAGGCATACTGAATACTAAAGTGGCTTACACAAGGACACACAACAATTTAACTCACATGAATCTAAACTATGCTACTAATATTACTGAGTCTATCTGTCCCCGAAGTCTACCTTTGAAGATACCATAAAGGATCCTATGTCCTGACCCTCTCTGCCCTATGCAATAATTACAGTACAGATTATAGTAATTCGTAATTTTGTTGTCTTCCTCACTAGACTGTGAGCTCTTTAAGAACGGGCATGTCTTGTTTACCTCCATGCTGCCAGTGCTGAGGATAACCTCTGACACATGATAATCATTCAATAAATGTTTCCAAAACGAAAACTAAGTGAAACCCCACTTTACAAATGAGGCTCTGCCATATTAAGAGTCTTGCTGTAGCCCAGTTAGAATGTAACTATCATGACTTATGCTCCCGCCAGTACCCCACATTCCTTAGCTCAACTGTAAATGAGTTCTCCAACAGTAGTTTTTATGAGATGAGAGTCTACAAACATTGCAATGGGGATTGATACTTATAAAGCCACAGTCCTATCAAAATATTATATTTCTTTGTTTTTTTGCTGAAATATTATAATCTCAGTGTGATCTGAGGTTATCTCATGTGGATTAGCTTGAGTCACACAAATGTCTCTAATAAAAACAGAAAGCATTAATTGGTAAATGTACTTTCTAACGTTTTAAGACACGGGGAAGTTACTAAAAAGTTTCCTTGGTTTTGAAACAGCTGGAATTCACTTCTCTATACTAAACAGGGCTTTACATATATGAAGTTTTTTTTTTCTTTATTATAAGGAGAAAATAATGTTATATAAATATTTGGTCATCAGGGGAAAAGTTCAAAATTTTACATATCTGTGAGTGGGGCCTGGGGTGGCAAATATGAGTGTGTGCATGCTTGCTTGTAAGTGTATAGATGAAAGAAGATTGGTAAAAAGTTGATAATTACTGAAGTTTGTGATGAGTAAAAGGGGATTCATTGGATTCTTCACTTCTGAACACATTTGAAATTTTCCATAAGCTTAAAAATGGTTAATTTCCCCAGTATTGTGCTAGCTATACAAAGTACCTGATCATTCATATATACACTGGCTGTAAACTTAGTATCACAACCCAAAGCAAAAGTTACTCTTTTCATCTGCGGATAGACTCTAAAATTTAAGAGAGTAGCTACTTGTGCTGGAAGAATTTTCATAGTCTTTTGCTGAGCATCAAGGAAGCTTTTCCCCAACTGTCCATCTCTTCTATGTCCATCTCTATATTAGAAACCTCAAGATTTCTGCAGGTGAAAGGAGGCTGCACCACACCACGCACAGCACAGGCCTTCTTTCCTTCACTCCTGCTTTTCTCAGACTGGCTTTCTACAGAGCACAAGGTAATTCCATCGAGTGCAATCCAGCCCTGGATTTGAGTAAGATAAACAGCTTCAAGAATCCTGAAAGTGATGATCTCACAAGATGTACACTCCTTTAAGGGCACAAAATATTTCCTCACGTAACTTAGATTAAAACACACTTAGTAAGCACTTTTTATGTCTGCCTGGTTCCTGGGTGTTTTTTTCCCTTTAAATGTGGATTTTTCCCTCTGGATAACATGGAAAATCCTTCCAAAATCTGGAGAAAAATGCAAAGGATCTTCGTCACCAACTATTTTATGATATACATACCTCTACCATTCCTGTCAATAAAAGTTTTTAAGTCAGTAAAAGTCAAAATGTGGTGTGCAGCAAATATCTAAAGTCTCAAATACAACAGAAAACAAATGTCAGATCACAATGTCCTACTGATATACTAATTCAGGAATGTGGGTCAATCCTTTTTTACGATTCCCATGAGTTCTTATTTTATTAATGTATGCTTTGACAATGGAAAAATAGATTATGGTATTCTGTTGTTAACTAGTATTTTATTGTTTATTTAAAATATAGAGCAATGTTTTTCAAATATTTACATAACACAACACAAATGTTCAGAAGAGCAAAATTAGGGATAGGCTCCACAAACAGATACATCTAATACCTTGCTTCAACTGAAATCATTGCTGCTTCTTCAGGGCAATAATAGCATAACATCTGGGAGATTTCACAGGATCAAACAACTTCACAAGTGCAACCCATGCAATATCTTCCTGCAAATTGATAAGTGATTTAAATACATAGCAATTTGTTGAAGATAAGAATGAAAGATGAGTTAGACTATATACTGTGATATTAAAAAAAGAACATAAAAAACAAACTACGTAAAAGAAAATTCTTTGTTGAATGGAATTAACATTTATAATTTCACCTCTGTGGAAATAAAGAGGTATATAGCTAGTGAAGTACAAGGTTACTCTTTGCTGCAATTGTGAAAAATGAAGTGGTCAAAAAAAATTGGGTATTATGGAAACAAATTATTATATGATGAAACATTATCCAGCTTCTGTAGTATATTTAATGAGCTGGGAAATTTTTGAATAAAATGAAACAAATTATATGCAAAACTATACTTATAATTTGATTCCAATTTTAATTAAAGCAGGCATAGTGTGCTCATACATACATGTGTAGCATATATATATTAGAGAAAGGCACTAGAAAACATATCAAAAATTTAAATTAATGCTGAAAGATGAAATTATTTTTAATTTTTTTATTCTTCATTTAAAATCTCTAGTATTACTCTTATAATAAAATATTATTTATATTATTTAAAATGTTACTATTTAAATATTTAAAGTATTAACAAATTAATATGATTTCTATCACTTCATTACCAATCTATTAATCTTCATGCATACCATTTACTCATTTTATTTACTTATTTTTTTTTACCACTTATTTTATTTAGGTCAATGGAAATTGTTTTGAAAAGGGACATAGGGAGTACCTAGTAAAACAGGCCTGATTCTGTCACCTACAAATTTGGAAAACTAACATTTCCAGTGACTCTAAGTTAGTTGGCAGTTTAAGAAAGTAAACAAATCCAAATATTTAAAAATTGCCTTTTTCCATAAAAATACGAATTAGAAAAGCAAATTTATTAAAATTCATTTGTTCCAAATGGCCTGCTGAAGAAGTAAAACTACCCACTATGATAAAATAAAATTGTTAAAATAAAGCACTGATGATGGAAACTTAAGACTGAATCCATGTGTGGGTTTAATTTAAATAGTTCACATAACTATTTTGATCACAGCCAGAGTAAAATCTGCAAAAAAGTATTTTCCCTAAAGATAAACAAGAAAACAATTTTGGGGGGCATTCAACAAAGGTAAAACAAACAAGACTGTGAAAAAAAAAAAAAGTAATTTGCACTGATCAGAAGAAATTTTTATACTGTGGAGTGCGTATGTCCAAAATCCAAAAGTGATTTAAAAGGTAAATTCTTATAAAATGAAAATATACATACTATCTTTTATATCTGGCCTTTATTAATTTTAGCTATACATTATGTCATATATGATGGTTATGTGTACTGCTTACTGTATAGGAATTACCATACAATTAAAAGAATATAAACTTTTATAAAAGAAGCCTTGCTGAAAACATCTGTTGTACATATGTTTATGTTTAAAAAGAGATAGAATGAATATTTAAACCTCAAAAATATAATGAGAAAAATTATCTGACTAGTTTTAGGTCAAAGAAACTTACTCTAGATATAACTGGGTCCATTTACTGGATTTTATGAAGATATTTATTATGTATTTTAAAATATCATAATTTACCTGTTCTTTTAGGTAGCAAAGTCGATCTAGAAGAATCAATGCCTCTATACAAGGAGCCAGAACAACTTTCAACTAAAAGAAAGAATAAGATAGGATGGTAGAACTTAAAAACAAAAAACAAAAAACAAAAAACAAACTAGCTTAACACTTATGTTCAAGAAAATGTATCTACAGAAATTTATGTAAGGCCAAATCTCCAATACCAATTGTATATCTTCAGAAAATGAATACTGCAGAGATGAAAAGTTTTTCTTTAATGATAATAGGAAAAGAATGTCCTTTGGATGACTTTGAGGTAGAATCCAAAGGCAGTCCTACATACGTGATAGAGAGCTTTCAAAGGTACTAAAAGTAAAATTCATTAAAAGGAATGCTTGTGAAATAACTGCACTGAGACCAATATGTGTTCAAAGAACTCTGAAATTTCTTTCTGTGCATTTATGATACACTTTAAGAGAAATCTACCATGTGTTCTCTTTATTACATTACTGACACCTAATATAGTTCTGAAATAGGAAATGATCCAAAAGGGTTTTTCTGCAGTAAGAGAAAAACAACATAGATTGGTTGGTCCCATAATAAAATTTAATAGATCCCTATTCAAGTCTAGCAACATATCCAATTTAACAGGTTTAATTCTGAGATTTACCATATTAAAAGCTTCCAGCTCATTCATTCTAGGCTTATACTTCTCGTAGTAGTCCATTATAACTTTTTCTGGCAGCTTCAAGATAAAACAACAACAAAAAATTTAACAACAGTTAAAAAAAGTTTTTCCTTATCAGACATAACCCCTAAAGTAAAATCAACATAACAATTTAAAACAAACCTCGGTGTCTGAAGAACTCTAAGGATACGCATGAAGCAAGTCAATATAACAAAGTTCTTTCACTGATCTCTTCTGTACCTAGTTTATTTAGCATACCATAAATAAAATCAGCAGTAACAGCCTATTACTACTGTTTAATTTTAGTAAATAGATGAAATATTTACTTTCACTTGTTTCTATGCTTGGAGTACACAGGAGCTCAATAAACATTTTTTCCAGTAAAATTAAAGATTTAAAATGTTGTATCTATATGTCCTAAAGAATAATCTTCAAAGGCAACAAGAACACAATAAGGACATATGTTCACATTTAAGGTAATTTACTCTAACATCCACTTAACAATCCACCAACAAGCATTACTTTCTGATTTTTCTCCAAAACACAGAATGCCTTATAGTACTGAACACTTGGGGTTCGCAGGCCACTTTTAAAAATACACATGCTTCTGTTCACACCAGCTGAACTTTATCTTTACTGAGTCAACTGTATTCATGTCTAAACTTGATATAAGTATTACATAACTAATGAAATACTAATGCAAAAGGAGAAGTTTTTTTTCTATAAATCGGATGCCTTTTTGAAAGGCATGATAAAGGAAAGCCATCAGAAGAAACTGCTATCAAATTACATATGGTCAAAACAAATGAAAGACTGGATGAAAACAAGTAAAAAATCTGAAAGGATTTGTATTTAGATTTTTTTGCAGATGTCTAAATGAATTTATTATTTTTTTTCAAAGCCTTTATTCTTTTTCTTACTGCATTCATTAAATTTCTTTTGAACTTCGAAAGTACAAGAAGGTAACAGTGAAAAGTTTTTGTCTCAATTTCTAGTGCAGCCTGGCAGAAAAGATTTCTCCCTTGGTACAGAACCCAAGCAGATTATACCTCCTTCTCCCAACCCTTTCTAAAATTTTGCCCATCTTTCAATCAAATGATTACTTCCTGAACCAAATTTTTGCACTAGCGTATACTGAATTGGATCCAGGCCTGAACTTCAAGCCAGCAGAAATTCTCATCTTACAAAATTGTGTGTGTGTTTGAATTAGAGCTTTTATTTGGTCTTTACTTCTCTCCTACCTTCTGAGATCAGCAGTTACAGGACAACTCAGAACTCACACTTTCTTTAAAATCTTGCTTCACCAGCACATTGCTTCCTATAAACATGGTTTTTCAATGTGATTCCATGGGTTCTCCAGTATTCTTTGTTTCTCTTTTATGCTAAATTGGGAAGCACTACCCTGGTCATCAACTGCATTTGTTCCAAACTAGGAATGGTTGACTTGGCTTCTCCGCATATTCCACTTTAGAGAACTGTGTTCTGTTGGTTTTGTCGGTGATCTGTGACCCTTGGAATTTTCTCTTGGTATCCTTCTGCATTCATAACACACAGGATTTGAGATTAAACATGCTTTCTGATTTTGTTAACGAAGGAGTTTGTGTTTTGGTTTCTATTTGTTAGTTTTGTGTGATTCTAAAAAATAATGGAAGTCTGTTGTTTAAATGAACCAAAGCTGGACACTGGAGACTAATACACTGTTGTCAGCTAAAGTCCACACATCTCAGCCAGGTACTCAATGTCAACATCAGTGATGGTAAGTTATGTTAACAGATACACTTGAGGGAAGCCTGGGTGGCTCAGTCGGTTAAGGGCCCAGGTCATGATCCCAGGGTGGTAGGACTGAGTCCCACATCTGGCTCCTTGCTCAGTGGGGAACCTGCTTCTCCACCTGCCTGCTGTTCCTCTTGCTTGTCCTCTCTCTCTGACAAATAAGTAAATAAAAATCTTAAAAAAAAAAAAGATACCCTTGATATGACAGGAACATGGTACTCTATCTCTATGGTCTTCCTCTCAGAAACCTTTAGCTCCAGTCCAATCATGAGGAAAATAACTGCAAATCCAAGTGAAGGAACATTCTACAAAATGTCTGATCAGTACTCCTCAAAACTCTCAAGGTCATCAAAAACAAGACAAGTCTGAGAAACTGTCACAACCAATAGGACTAAATGCAGTGTGACATCCTGGATGGGACTGTGGAACTAAAAAGGCATTAGGTAAAAACTAAGGAATTCTGATTAAAATAGGGACTTCAGCTAACAACAGTTTATCAGTCTACAGTGTCCAGCTTTGGTTTACTGGTTCTTGTGCATTTGCCCTTAAAATGTTATTAGGTGTGGCTTTTACATAGAATATTGACATACTGTTTTTGATCTCAATTTGAAAGTATAATTGTTAATTCTCGTTTTGTTTTTTACCAAATGTAATGGCTACAAATCTGTACAATCATAAGTTACAGGACACTTCATTATTAATAGTATGCTCATTTTCAAAGATAATTTGAAGTTCTTTATAATATGATGCATAAAAACATATCAAAGGTAGGGCCTTAAAGAAAGGATAAATTCTCAAGGGTGTACAATTAAAAGGAGAAAAACATGACACCAAAGTCACCTCGCTAAGGACAGCTGCTGGAATCAAGTATAAATGTACATTTGAACCTCCTGATAGCTAAGGCAAAAAAGAAGTAAGTTAAGTGTTCTCTGGAGGAGATTGTCCTATCATTAAAAATTAAATTATCATGTAGATTGTTATATAACAGAACCTAGATAATATGAATAAGTTTTGAAATATGAAAAAGTTTTATAATATAATATTATAATATAATATAATTTCATATAATAATATGAAAAAGTTTTGAAATATTGTCTTTATTGAATGTTCAAAAATATCCTCATACAAAATACATTAAGACTCTGAATGCCTCTAAAACCTAAGCCCCATTTTAATGTGTTTCTGCCCTATCACTGCTTCAGGAAAGACTCCTAGGCTGCAACTTATGTAAAAATCTTCCTGCAGGTACAGTTTCCCCCATTCTACCTCTCTCACCTTATTTGATTTAGAGTGTTTGTTTATAAAAATTCTACCCAAACAGCTGTGAAAGCAATCAAATGAATCAACTAGATCCTCTTTTTCTGGGTCAGGGAGAGAGTAGGCTGTGCAGTGAGGGGAAGTGATAAAAGTGATATACAAAGTTTGCTGCAGGTGGAAAGCAGAGGCATGAATAAATAACTTATAAATAAGCAAAAATCTGGAGAGAAAATTTACCTAGAACAGAGAGTGAAATATCTCTTAGGGTAGAGCTCTCATTAACAAAACACATTCTGAGGAGACTAGGCTGTATATCACTTTCCTAGCTTTTGTGAAGCCAAGAGATCTCAGTCTTTCTTTTAAGTATATGTATTCCTAGAATAGCCTCCCACGAATTACTTAGAAAACCTGAGTATATCTTTATTTTTTGCAATCAAATGACCACATATCTTCCTTCTTAAAACCATAATAAAAGCAAACAATTTAATCGTAATTCTGATAATGCATCCCTACAAGGATGACTTACTGTAGGCATAAGGTTGTAAATAGTGGAATATAGTTCCTCAATGATGTGACTTGATACAGAGATTTATGACAACATAGACAGATCCAGAGGGTATCATACTAAGTGAAGTAAGTCAGACGGAGAAAGAAAAATACCATGATTTTACTCATATGTGGAATCTTAAAAAACAAATGAATGAACAAACAAAAAGCAGAATCAGACCTATAAAATACAGAGAACAAACTCATGGTTTCTAGTGGGGAGGGGGATGGGCAAAATGGGTAAAAGGGAGTGGGAGATCCAGTTTTCCAGTTATGGCATGAAGAAGTCACTGGAATAAAGGTACAACATATGGGATGTAATCAATGGTATTGTAATAGTGTTGTATAGTGACAGAGGGTAGCTACACTTGTGGTGAGCACAGCATAACATATAAAGAAGCTGAACTGTTATGCTGTATACCTGAGAGTAATAGAACATTGTGTGTCAGCTTTACTCATATCAAAAAATTCAAGTAAAAAGATAGGGGCTGGGTATCTAGAATTTGGATGGGTAGTATGTGCATTAAAAGTGGGGAGAGAGGGGTGCCTGGGTGGCTCAGTCGTTAAATGTCTGCCTTCAGCTCAGGTCATGATCCCAGAGTTCTGGAATCGAGCCCCACATCAGGCTCCCTGCTCAGTGGAAGCCTGCTTCTGCATCTCTCCCTCCCCCTGCTTATGTTCCCTCTCTGGCTGTGTCTCTGTCAAATAAATGAATAAAAATCTTAAAAAAAAAAAAAAAAGGTGGGGAGTGGGGTTTAGTTCAAAGTTCTTTACTGTTACTGAGGTAAGACCAAGAAATCATGGGACATTCATGAGATACTACAGGTAATTCATCTGCAGCTGCTACGGGGTTCAAGGCCACATTCTGAAGTAATGAGGCTTAACTGAGATAAAATTAGAAGGTATAATAGGTGAAGGATTAGGGTTTTACCATTAACAATTAGAACTGTGCTGAGAATCCAAAAAACACACTGGACAGGTCACATGATCTCTAGTTCATTAGAAGGGGGGGAAAAGGCACGAAAACTGAACAAAGGGGAAAACTAGAAATTTAAAGCCTGAAGAGGAAGCTGCGCTGCACGACAGTGATGACATCAGGGTAACAGAAGCAAAGGCAAGGATTTGAACAGTGCTCTGGACAAATCCTATCTGCCGCCATGGTTAGACTTCTGAGGTCTGGATTTGCACTTGGAAAAAAAGCTCATGCACTTTCTGATTTCCAAACAGGACTCCCTCAAAAGCTCCCCAACTCTTTAGTACTTACCTGACTGCATGAAAGGAACTGCACGTGCCTACAAGGAGGGCCAAAAGTTTCCTAAAGAAGTATCTGAGCTGCTCAAACACTTGAACAAAGTGCTGAAAGTCATAGTCTTATCACATACATCAACCTGTTCTGCTAGATACAAAATATAGAAATGACATTCTTGCAAGAAAATAAAGTCTTCAGAGCTCTCAGATCCTGGTATGGGAGATCAGAACTA